GTGGATGGCTTTAACAAAGAGAAATTTATTTTCTCACAGTCTAGTAGGCTAGAAGTCCAAATTCAGGGTGTCAGTTTCAGGGGAAGCCTTCTCTCTCTGTCGGCTCTGAAGGAAGGTCCGTCTCATCAGTCTTCCTCTTGACTACGAGCTTCTCTGTGCAGGAAACCTGGGTCCAAACGGCTCCGCTCCCAGCACTGCTTTCTGGGTGGTATGAGGTCCCCCACTCTCTGCACACTTCCTTCTCCTTTTATCTTGAGAGATAAAAGGTAGTGCAGGCCACACCCCAGGGAAACTTCCTTTACATTGGATCACGGATGTGACCTGGGTAAGGATGTTACATCCCACCCTAATCTTGTTTAACATAATCTAATCTTGCCTCATTAACCACAGGCAGAGATTAGGATTTGTAACACAGGAAAATTACACCAATCACAAAATGGAGGACAACGACATAATCTGGAAATCATGGCCTAACCAAGTTGACACATATTCTTGGGGGACACAATTCAATCCATGACAGATATTGTTCGATAATTTCCACATTTGGTTGGATCACCTTTCTTTGGAATAGGCATAAATATGGAACTCTTCCAGTCGGTCAGCCAAGTAGCCGTCCTCCAAATTTCTTGGCATAGATGAGTGAGCACTTCCAGTGCTGCATTTGTTTGTTGAAAAATCTCAGTTGGTATTCCATCAATTCCTGGAGCTTCGTTTTTTGCCAATGCCTTCCGTGCAGCTTGGAATTCTTCCTTCAATACCATCAGTTCTTGATCATATGCTACCTCCTGAAATGATTGAACGTTGACCAATTCTTTTTGGTACAGTGACTCTGTGTATTCCTTCCATCTTCTTTTGACACTTCCTGTATTGCTCAGTATTTTGCCCATAGAATCCTCCAAAATTGCAACTCCAAGCTTGTATTTTTTCTTCAGTTCTTTCAGCTTGAGAAATGCCAAGCATGTTCTTCCCTTTTGGTTTTCTAACTCCAGGTCTTTGCACATGTCATTATAATACTTTACTTTGTCTTCTCAAGCTGCCCTTTAAAATCTTCTGTTCAGCTCTTTTACTTCATTTCCTCCATTTGCTTTAGCTAATCTACCTTCAAGAGCAAGTTTCAGAGTCTCTTCTGACATCCATTTTGGGCTTTTCTTTCTTTCCTGTATTTTTAATGACCTCTTGCTTTCTTCCTATATGATATCCTTGATGTCATTCCACAACTTGTCTGGTCTTCAGTTATTAGTGTTCAACACCTCGAATCTATTCTTAAGATGATCTCTAAATTCAGGTAGGATATACTCAAGATTGTACTTTGGCTCTCGTCGACTTGTTCTAATTTTCTTCAGCTTCAACTTGAACTTGCATATGAGCAGTTGATGGTCTGTTCCGCAATCAACCCCTGGCCTTGTTCTGACTGATGATATTGAGCTTTTCCATCGTCTCTTCCCACAGATGTAGTCAATTTGATTTTTGTGTATTCCGTCTGGTGAGGTCCACATGTATAGTCACTGTTTATGTTGGTGAGAAAAGGTATTTGCAAGGAAGAAGTCGTTGGTCTTGCAAAATTCTATTATGCGATCTCCAGCATGGTTTCTATTACCAAGACCATATTTTCCAACTACCAATCCTTCTTCTTTGTTTCCAACTTTCACATTCCAATCACCAGTAATTATCAATGCATCATGATTGCATGTCCAATCAATTTCAGATTGCAGAAGTTGGTAAAGATCTTCAATTTCTTCATCTTTGGACTTAGTGGTTGGTGCATAAATTTGAATAATGGTCATAGTAACTGGTCTTCCTTGTAGGTGTATAGATCTTATCCTATCACTGACAGCAGTG